TGAATTATATGAATGAAATAAAATAATAAAAATTTAAGTTATTTTTAATTTTATCATACACTAAATCATAATCATTCAATTTAAATTTAATGAACATAATGTTAAGTTGTAAAGATTGATATGGATAGGGGCTCGTAACCTAAGTTGCTATGCGGAGCCGACATGACGGTCTCAAGAAAAGTACATTAAAAAAGTGTTGAGCAAATTCAACCTTCGGGATAGGAAGATCGAAGCATTCCTTTAGGAAGCTACCTTAGGCTTTTAAAAGGGCAATCACCAAAGACAGATGAAGACCAAAAAGAAATGTCTATAGTCTTTTATACATGAACGATTGGAAGCCTAATGCGTGCTATGATTTTGCACAGGACTTGATATAGCTCATGCTCGTGGGAGTTGTTAGTAGGTACATAGGAAATTCGAGAAAGAAGCACTGGGAAGGAGTAAAGTAGATTCTTAGTTATTTGAAAAGTACTTTAGAAATGACCATTTGTTTTAAGAAGAATAACACTCTTCTATAAGAATTTGTTAATGCAGATTTAGGTGGTGATCTAAATAATAAAAATAGTAAAACATGTTATATTGTCACTTTAGGTGGTACTGCTCGTGAGTTGGGTATCTTCACTTTAGAACTATGTTGCTCTTTCTACCACTAAAGTTGAATATATGACTATTTCGGAAGCTAGTAAAGAAATAGTTTGGTTAAGGAACTTCATGAAGAAAACGGGTAAGGCACATGATGACAATGAGCTTTTTAGTGATAATCAAAGTGCAATTCTTCTTGTCGAGAATTCAATCTTTTACGCAATAACCAAGTATATTCAGTTGAAGTATCACTACATCCCGCAGTTATTGGATGATATGATAAAATGTTTGAACAAGATTTTAAGATTGAAGAATCCAACCGATATGTTGACCAAGACGAGTTACTATTAATAAGTTGAGGTTTTGCATTGTGTTAGTTTGCTTTAATGATTAGTGATAAGAAGGCACTACACTAGGAGGACTTGAAGTTGGTTGAGAAAATGGATAGTTACAAGAGGTTTGGTACTATTTAGAGATCGACCTTCATGTGAGCTATTGTTAAGTTGTAGAACTTCATGAAGAAAGCAGGTAAGGCACACAATGACAATGAGCTTTTTAGTGATAATCAAAGTGCAATTCATCTTGCCGAGAATTCAATCTTTTATGCAAGAACCAAATATATTTAGTTGAAGTATCACTACATCCCGCAGTTGTTGGATGATATGATAAAATGTTTAAAAAAGATTTTAAGATTGAAGAATCCAACCGATATGTTGACCAAGACAAGTTACTATTAATAAGTTGAGGTTTTGCATTGTCTTAGTTTGCTTTAATGATTAGTGATAAGATGGCACTACACTAGGAGGACTTAAAGTTGGATGAGAAAACGGATAGTTACAAGAGGTTTGGTACTATTTGGAGATTAATATTCATGTGAGACATTATTAAGTTGTAGAGACCGATGTGGATGAGGGCCCATAGTATAAGGCGCTATGCAAAGCCGACACGAGATCTCGCTATAAATAGAGACAATATCACTTATATTTATAGCCACCACTTGATAAATCCTAATAAGAACTTTTAGTGTAGCTTTGAAGTAGGCATCATTACCACGTAAAATCTTTATGTTGTGTCATTGTTTTGTCTTTCTACTATTCTTTTGCTTGATTTATTTCATAACATATGATAATCATATTTTTTTAGGAACATGAGAGAATCAAAATATCCATCTCACAAATTCATCCATAGTTTTTATGGTTGTGAATCCTCTCATTTTTTTTTCTTTCAAAAAACATGATTCCTAATGTTCCAAATCTCTATATTGATTTTGAATTCAACGATAGCCTTGTTCTTTCCAAAAAAAAAAAAAAAAAAGACTTTACCAACTCACTACAAGTGAATTCATATTCTGATATGTATATAATATATCATATATTATGAAACCTGTGAAAAACCAAATGTGCTATCCTAAAGGAAAAACAAAACATCAATAAATGTATTGAAGATGGATGCTGAATCCTTGCACGGTCAAACCTACATCTTTTATTTTTAAAGATTTGCCAACCAGACATGGACACATTTGTAATACGTGTGTTTTTGTATAAAATAGATTATAAATTTCTCATATGTTTACGGGGTCAGTGGATTAATCTGTTGATGCGATGCATTGATCCATGACCAAATGATCTAGATTTGCCAAATCAAACTCTAGACTGGATCTGAGAACTATGATACACGCATTAGAAATCAAAATAAATCATCTCACAAATTAATCCAAAAACTAAACATTTATGACAGTGAAAATACAAAGGAGAATAAGGATTCTAGTAGGTTTTTATTTATATTTATTTATTTATTATTATTATTACTATTATTATTATTTTACGTTCTTAAACAAGTGAACCAACTAGATGCATGCGCACCGTAAAGGAATATGGTAGAATATTCAAGCAAGGTAGGATATAGTTATGCAGTGAAGTTCAAAAAGATAAACTCAGAATGTAAGTTGAAACATTAATATTAATCCACTCACAGGTAATAATCTCAAAAGATTTTACTCAATTTTTTATTTTTTTATTATATATATATATGGTGAAAAAAATGGTTTAAAAAGAATGTCACAGTTGTGAAATTAGTCGCAACAACAAGGGATGATATGAGAAATTAGATTAAGCTATAGCCAAGATAAGAGAAGTTTCAGTTGATTCTGTTACTACAGAAGCACAATACATGAGCCTTTATCATTCTGAATTTGGAGATGGAGCTATCACTGCACGCTTTATCATTTACCTCCTTCGCTTTTTTTTTTTTTTTTTTTTTCACCCCACTACACTATTCTACAGAGTAAATTATGGATTTGTCCTTCTCATTTGAAAAAATGAATTAATTAGTTTTTTTTTTTACTAATTATTTAGTTCCTCATGTTTTGATTATGTCAATGACATAGTCTTTTTATTAATTTTTTTAAAATTAATAATTTTTATTATAAAAAATTGCCTTTTATGTGATTTTTAATTGAAGAGAGAAAGAGAGTGGATGAAAACAAAAAATAAGGCATTTCAGAAAATAAAATTTGAGAACGGGAAAGAAAGATAAGATCAAAAGATTTAAAGTGGCATTTTTTATTTATTATGGTCTTAGATTTGAGGTTTGTAAACTTAAAGTCTTAGAGAGAGAGAGAGAGAGAGAGCCTTAATGTGTCAAAAACTTAATTTAGAAGTAGAATTTTTTTCCAATAAAAAATATAAATAAAGAAAAAAAATTTTTTTTTCAGTAAATTTACTTATGAGAAGTAATTTCTTTTCAGTGGTCTACTATCTTGTATCTGGTGTGTTTTCAAACGAATTGATTAGTAATGAGTTTGTATTTTTTTTTTTTTTCCTTTCTATTTGTATAATGATCTTTTTGTATCTTGTTGAAATATATATCTTAATAGTAGATTACAAATTATATGATCTCTAAGACTAATTAATAATTTGCTTGCTTGTATGACTTGTGCATTAACTGAAGTGCTAACTGTTATGAAAATTTTCTATACAAAATATTAGATATTAATATGGTATATATCTTCTGTTTTTTCAGGAGGCGTAAAAACTTTTTTCAATATAAATAAAATGATAAGATTCGAATTCATAACACAAATGATTTGTCCTTATAATTTAAATTATTAAATGAAATATAATTTTGTATAATTTACTAACACGATGTAATTAGAGTTTGGCGGAATCTCAAGAATTATTTTTTTCTTCTCAAATAATTGTTTCACACTTTCGGATATGAAAATATAAATGGCAAAAGGCACAGATTCCATGGCCTTTACTAAGGCCGTAAATAGGACCAAGCCTAAGTAGTCTAAACTATGGCAAGCCTATTTTAACTAGCATAAATCATACACAAGCCCACCGCTAATGTTGTCCATAATTCATAGTCATTATTATTATTATTATTATGTATAAAAGCACGGATTCATTTAAAATTTTTGATAGACTAGTATATCCTTGACATATAATACTAATATTATAATTTATGCCAATATGAATATTAAATGTTATTCCACTTTTTCAATAAAAAAAATATCAATATAGTAATATTCTTATAATATATCCCAATATAAATTCCTAAAAAAAATTAGGTTATATATATATATATATATATATATATATATATATATATATATATGAAATTTCAATTAAAACAGTTCAAAAAACGCAATGATTAGATAGGGCAAAACCCATAATATATATATATATATATATCAGCAAAATGGAATTGCCTAACAGTCTCAAGTTTTATAGATATTCTAGAATACAGGGCAACTTAATGGATAGCTGTCATCCTGGATTCAAATCTTACCCTAAACCCTAAATTGCATTTACACAATTACTACTAGCGGGTTCTAATCTCAAGGAACAATCACTAATTTTATCTTTATCTTGAGAAGCATAACATGATTGGCAAGTGAGTACGTATGGATCCACTCTTTAAAACCTCACGAAAGAACAAGAAGGTGGATTTTTACTATTTATAATGCTAATTATGGAATCCAAATTCTCTCAACTCCATTTTAATTTCACTATCACCAATGTGGACAAAATGTACCTCATACCATTGATTTTCGTAGTGACTTGAGGGACAAATATTTTCTCCAGCTCCATCAATTCTTCTTAGTTCCAATATTTTTAATACACAATCCAATTAATTTTCCTTCTAGTGGATACTCCATTATCAAATTTGTATCACTGTCAATCCCTTCTATATAAACAGCTTAAATTTATCCTCATCCTCCTGCAAAACTCTTTGGTCTCTTCCTACCTAGCTTGGTACGTACATTCTCTATTATTAGCATTCACACAAGCAGCAGGTAGTTTGATAATTATCAAATCGATCTATTTAGTTACTAGCTGCCTACTATGGTTCGATAATTACAGCGCATAACTCTTTGTTTTTGTTTGGTTCGATAATTGCAGCGACTCCCAAGAATGAGGCTTATAGTGATTGTTTTGATTCTGGGGATGCTGACAAGTTCATGCTTGGCTGCAAACATGAAAGCTTTAAATCTTGAGGTACATGAAGCTGAGCAGCGACACCTGATAGAGGAGGAGAAAGTTGAAGTTGAACACAAACCAGAGAGCACTGAAGATAGTGACCACCATCACATCCCAAGAGAGGACTATGATAAAAAACATGGAAACGGCAATGGCTAATTAATCGTTCAGGAACAGCATGTTTATAATGACTAAATATTGTTGTAATATTAGTGATGTGAAAAATCTTCACTCTTGAAAAGGCCTTTTGCTTGTATACCTTAATAGATATGGTTTCATCATATTAGGGGAGAGAAAGGATAATAAAGAAGACAAGAGAGGGCATGATTCCCAGGAGTCTACTATTGCACCTAGAGTGATTGCAAACGAGTCTGTTACTCGTTTAAGATAGATATCATGTTGTCTTTATCGTATGAATAGCTAATATCTTAGATGAGACCTATATCTCTGTGTAGTTGAGCATATTAATTTGATAGAGAAGGGTCTTCTACGTGATAAAGTGCTTGTAACAGATTGTAACATATGATACTCCTATATATACAATTCTCTCTCATGGTGTGGTGTGTGAGATTTAATTTGCGAGATGATTTCCTAGAAAACTTCTTCTACTCAAACCGTCCCAAGATCGGTAGGAGTTTTTTTTTTTTTTTTTTGTAATTGATAAAATCAAGTTTAAAAAAAATTAGTTTTTTTTTATTTGCTTAAAAATAAAATTAATTGCACTAACTATTAGTTTTTAATAGAAAATTTTATGTTAAAACTAATTTCTTTTTAATTGATAATATTAGAGTTAGAAAAATTAATATTTGATTAAAAATCAAATTAATTACATAAGTATTATTCAGGTGGACATCAAAATGATGAGTTTAAAATAAAGGAAAAAAGGAGTTGTCACCTCGTATATGTGATAAACACAGAGTCACCACCTAGGCGTGTTACCTAGTATATTATAGAAAAAGGAGTGCCACTTAATATATCACAGAGAAATGAGTCAACATTTAGTATAAAAAGTAACTAAAAAACTTAAATGTTTTTAGGTAAATGGTTTTTAGGTAACTAGAAAATTTAAATGTTCTTAGGTAAAAGGTTGGTTATTACAACACCTAGTATACAAAGTAACTAAAAAATGTAAATGCTCTTAGGTAAAGGGTTGGTAAGTAACTAGAACATTTAAATGTTCTTAGGTCAAGGGTTGATTACATTAAAGGAAGATAAAAATCAACGTCCTACTTGAGGTGGGTTGAATTGCATGCAAATCTAAACATCATTTTTGGTTGTTATTATAATAAAAATCTATATCTATTTATGTGTGCATTGCATGTAAATTTAAACACTATTTTTTGTTTTAGTATGACGAAAATCTATACCTATGTTAGTATATTTGCGATCAAGTTAAGAAATTAATTAATCAAGTAATTTGAAACTTGATTGATCAAAGGCCTTATCATCACTCTAAAATAAAAAGGGCATAAAAAAACAAACAAAAAAAAGTAATAATAGAATAAAACTCGATCAAATCATCAAATGGGTCCGAATGCCCTTACTCACATATAAAAGCATGAAATGAAAATAACATAAAAAAAGAAAAAGAAAAAGAAAAACATGTGAAATGAAAATCTACAATTTTTTTTTATTTATCAAAATACGGAAATAAAGACCCATGTATGAATGGGTAAAATGAAAATCCATGAATTCACTTAAAATGTGTGAAATAAAAATTTATGACTTTTCTTAAAATGCTTGAAATAAAAATCTACGACTTAACTTATAATGTGTAAAATGAAAACCCATGATTTTTAAAAAATGCATTAAATAAAAGCCTACAATTTCACTTATAATGCATGAAATGAAAACTCACGATTTTTTTTTAAATGCGTGAAATAAAAACCCACAACTTCACTTATCTTCTGCGAAATAAAAATTCATGACTTAACTTATCATGCATGAAATAAAAATTTACAATTTTTTTTTTAAAATGCATGAAATAAAAGCCCACGACTTCACTTATAATGCATGAAATAAAAACTCATGACTTCACTTAAGATGCATGAAATAAAAAGTCATGACTTTAGTTATACTCGCATGAAATGAAAATTTACAACTTCACTTATAATACGTCAAATAAAAATCTAAAACTTTTCTTAAAATGCATAAAATGAAAAAACATAACCTTTTTTTTTATGGTACACGAGATGAAAATCCATAATTTTTCTTAAATAAATGACATAAAAATCTACGATTTCACTTATAATGCATAAAATGAAAACACATATTTTTTTAAAACGCGTTAAAAGAAAGCTTATGATTTCACTTATAATGTGTGAAATGAAAACTCATGACTTTTTTTTTAAATGCGTGAAATAAAAAACCCACAACTTCACTTATATCACGTCAAATGAAAAATCACAACTTCACTTATAATGCATGAAATGTAAATCTATGACTTTTTTAAAATGCACGAAATAAAAACCTACAACTTCACTTATAATGCATGAAATAAAACCCATGACATTTTTTAAATTCATGAAATAAAAAATATGACTTAGCTTAAAATGCATGAAACTTCACTTATATTAGGTGAATGAAAATTCATGACTTTCACTTATAATACATGAAATAAAAATCTAAAACTTTTCTTAAAATACGTGAAATAAAATCTTACAACTTTGCTTATAATGCATGAAATGAAAACCTATAACTTTTTTTTATAGTACGTGAAATGAAAACCCATGATTTTTCTTAAAATAAGTGAAATAAAAATCTACGTCTTCAATTATAATGCACGAAATAGAAACCCATAATTTTTTAAAAATGTATGAAATAAAAACTCAAGCTTTACTTATAATGCGTGAAACGCAAATTCACGCAAGGATACAACATTGACATTATAAAATCAATTTCATAAAATTTTCCAATTAACAAAATCACATCAAAGATAAAGATGTATATTATTTTCATAAAACTCATTGAAAAATAACAATCATGTCGAAGATGATAACCGCCCTAATATCTACCACAAGTACATGGGTCGCAACAACATAGAATAGAATATGCGAATATCGTTCCCCCAAAGGAGAGACTCAAATACCGATTACACAATTTCTTCTACTATCTAGATAAACTAATTTAAGAGTGATTATTCTAAAATTAAGGAATGCAAGTTCTAATCTTAGACTAACAATTATAAGAAAAGAATTCTAGGATTTGGATTTCATCAAGTAAATTCTTTTAATGAATTTAAACCAGATTGAATGAATCAATTCATCATTAGAAATTTAGCAACTACATCCTAGTTCTAGAATAATAAATGTAGCAACTACATCCCGGTTCTAGAATAATAAATCTAGCAACTCATGGATAACAAAACACTAAAATAATTCATTAATGAATCCGAAAACCTTTTGATCAAAAGTATCAAAGTTAATAGACAAAAAGGTAGAAAGAAAAATAACTAGTATAAAGTCAAAATCTTTAAATCTTAAAAAGTCTCCTTCAGCCTATTTTCCACTCTCTTGTTTCTCTTCCGCTTAATATGTATATATACTTCCGTGCCGATTTAGAGTATGAAACAAGCCTTTTAGAAATTAGTTTATTCATAAAGCTTCTAGGTCTATTTCTTATCTTTTCAAAGAGTCCAAGAATGCATAAATCCAAAGTTTGTAGCTCCAAATATAGCCAAAAAACCAAATAGTGCTCAAATTAGGATGAAAATCGAGTTTCTTATAAACTCAACTTAAAATAGACTTTAAAAGCCCAAACCAACTTGGAATTATGTGAATAAACCAAATTTGAAATTTTTAAGATGATCACTTCAACTCTCAAGAAGGTTTTTTTTTTAGAACTTTAAAGATGTAAAATTCTTATATTTTCTTTCAAATGTCAAATCTACCAACGAACTAGAATTTTTCCAAATTGCTCTATTAAAGACCTACAAAATAATAAGAATCATCAAAAACTAAATAAATGCAAAAAAATAAAAATAAAGAAACTTAAACAAATTAACTAAGAATCTAGAAAACATTCTAAAATAAGATAATTTATGACCAAGTAAGTGTGAAATAAATTCACAAATAAAATATCCCCAAACTTGAATATTTGCTTGTCCTCAAGCAAAGGAAAAAAAAAAGAAATCAAATATAGGACAACAAGCATATTTAGAATCACTCATCACATCCAAAGTACCTCCTATGCAAGCATCCAATCTTCAACTCGAAACACAACAATAGAAAATGAACAAAAACTAAGCATTCTCACATTCTTTAATTCATATTTCCATACATAATTCCAAACTCAATCATGCAATCAACATAAACAAATCGTGTGATAACCAACCTTGCAACCTCCCCTTCTTACCACTACAAACATGATAGCAAATTAAGGTGTTTATGTTTGTTTGGTTTTTTTTTAAAACAAAATATTTAATTATAATACTCCTTTACTTTTCATCTTTAAGTTATCACTTTTTTTTTTCTCAAATACAAATATTTCTTATGAATGCACTCGATTACACAACAAATCACACATCCAAAGTGCTTTGCATACTCATATTTTAAATTATCATTAGAAATAAAAGTAAAAATCAATGATGCCTATTCTAGTTGCTAAGAAACTTAAAACATTAGAGTAGATAGGAATTTCAAAATATTCAATCATTTCATTCAATTACTCATAAATATTCTATTTTGGAAAATTTTTCCGACATCCTTAATAATGCTAGGTTTGCTTAAATATTCAACTCTTTCATCTTCTTCATAGTTAATGGAAGCCTAAATTCATTAGTGAAGAAGTCTTGAGTAGGAATTTTGCACATGTTCACACTCATTCCTACACATACACTATTCTCAAAGTACCTTGATGAGAAAGAATTTTTTAAAATTACGAGTTGGTATTAGGAAATTTGTTGAACATGATGAACTCAGCTACTATGCCAAGTTTGGTAGCAGCGTGAGCCAAAAAAAGATAGGCTTCAACAATTCGGGTTTCTATGGTAAGATTTGCTGACTTACTATGCTTTTGTTATGGTCTACCTAGCTTGGTTGTTAACTTATTTTTCATGTCTTTGGACTATTATTTGGATTTCTAAAAACAAATTATTTAATGAAAAATAGATGAAATCTCTATAAGTTCCATGAATGCTACAATCCTAGATGTCTAGAACTCCTACCTAAGAACATTAATGAATTATTGTACAATATTTTTGCTTGGCTAGATCTATTTCATATCGCTACTCAACATTTGTAAGACTCCTAAAAGTTTATGATTATTTAGTGATAATTTTTGTTTGTTTAGGGATTTGAGTTATTATTAGTTTAAAGGAACTAGAAACCTAAAATGGACACTCGGTTTAGAGATTTTAATGTAAGAAGTTGGTTATGCCTTTGGAAAGACATC